AATACAGACTTTTCTATATCAGAAAAAAAACATTTAAAGCATTAATTATGTTTTCCTGGAAATGCTTCAGGGATCATTTTAGTTGGTTTGAGCTATTTTTCATATCAGAATATACAATTTTTCCCATATAGTTTTAAAATAGTATTATTCATAGAATATACAATGTTATCAAAAATTTTAATACACAGAAATTGTTTCAGTATTCAATTATTCCATGCTGTATTTAAAACCTAACAATACAATGAAGCCATCTGTATAGAGTACTCTTTGCTAAAGGTTCTAGTCACAGCAGAATAAATAAATAACAATCACAATAAACAAGTGATAAATAAGAAACGTCATTTATAGCAAATAGTTTATATACCTAGAGAATTTGAGAATAAACTGAAAAACTATTAGATGAATAAGAAATATGAAAAAGATATATATCTAAAATCCAAAGAATTTCTACTTGTTAATAATTACAAAAAGCTATGGTAGTGGGGTAGAGGAATACCACTGATAATCAAAATCCTCCAAATGCCTATAATAAATTCAATAAGGAAGTAGAAACATAACGAAAAAGTCTCTATTTCAATAACAATAGAACACCAAACTGGAAGCCTAACATGTTCAAAACAACTAAAAATTGAAAAATGATGCAAATACATAACTTACCAAATCACAAATAGGCACCCAATTATGAAAAGACAATCAACTTCATTCAGGAATTTACAAAACTTTTAAATGAGTTAGTTTTCCAGTTATCAACTTTGTGAAACAAAACATAAAAACAACAACAACAAAATCTTCTGCTAATAGTATTGGAGAGGAAAATGGGTTTTAATATGGTAAACTGATACACAGCTAGTTTGGCCAGTAATGTATCCACTTAAATTAAAAACTCTGCATTGTAATTCTATTTCTTGGCACATATTTTAGAAATACATGTGTACAAAAAGTACACAGAAGTACTTTCACAGATTGTAACAAAACCAGGCCAAATCACTGGGTAGTTTGTGGTATATCAGTGTGACGGAATAGTGTTCCAAACACTAAGAATCAGATAGAGATACATAGTTTTCAAATCTGGATGGGCATTAAAATATCAGGTAGTAAAATGTTCACTGTTGCCAACTCCAGAGATTCTGATTTGGTAAATGTGCAACTGTTAATAAATTTTCATTTTTAGTAACCCAGAGAATTTTGGTAAAGGTAGTTACACTGGGTACTGTTAAAAATACTAATCTACAATGGAAGACATATTAAGTTGAAAGAGTAATTTCTAAAACAAGATGTACTCTAGAACTCCATTTATGTTTTTAACAAAAAAATTATTTGTAGATATGAATGAGGTATGCATGAAAATAAATTCATGGAAAATATCTGGGAGGATATGTAAATGTGTAACAATATTGATCTCTAGGAAAAGGACAGGGATCTTTAGTGATGGGGAATGAAAAACACTATAAATTTCTGTAATTTTTAATTTTCTTGTACAAAGAATATACTTAATTATAATCTGTACAATGTTAAGAAAATAAAACATAAAAAGGTAAAATACTCTGTTGCTGTTACAAAATATTTGAAAAAGTAAACTTAAAGGAATAAAAGCTTTATGTTGGATCATATTTTCAGAGGTTTCAATCCAGAGTTAGCTGGTTTCATTGCTATGAGTCTAAAGTGAGGTAGAACACCATGATGGAAGGGTGTGGTGGAGGAAAACTCAACTATGGCAGTCAGGAAACAGAAAAGGGCAGAGCCTGTGCTAACAGGCTTCTTCCTTCTTCTACTTTTGGTGCATCAGATCCCCAGACTATTAGATGATGTGCCCATATTCAGGGCCAGTCTTCCCCCTGTTTGCCATCCCACATGCCAATCTTCTCTGGAAGAGACATACCCAGACACACCCAGAAGTGTGGTTCACTGATCTCATCATCTCTCAACTCAATCAAGTTGACAAGATCAACCATGCAAATACATTTTAAAATCATAAATTTGTTTCTTAAGTGACAATTCACTTTTATAGAATTATCATCTATTAACATGACAGTTGGTAGTATAACTGAAATACTCTTTGCCTTCATACAGGAGATTCCTTTTTATCTCCCTGTATATGAGTGCCTTCACTACAAACATCTCTGCTGCATGATAACAGCACCCACACAAGGAAATTGCCTTTTCATAGGGTCAGGTCTCATCCTACTGACTAATTTAAGAGGAAAATTTCTCAGGAGGTGAACTGTGGCACTTTTAGCACAAAAGCAACAGTAAATCAGGGTGACAAATGTAGGTATGCAGAACTGCTTCTTTCTGTGTTTCCCAAGGGAAGCCACTGATGGGTAGAACAAGTTAGTCTTCTCTTTAAAGCCCTAGTGTTTATTTTAGGAGCATGAAACCTTGGTCACTGAGGTCTGGTTGTAAGGGATCATAACTAATGACTTCAAGTAGAACTTATTTTATGAGTTTAAAGTTGACAAGTTATCTAGTGAAGTGGAACATTACTAAAATATTTATTATTACAACATGCCATCACTGCTTGAAACAAATTAGTTAGCAATTACATATCTAGATTTCTTGGTAACTAAGAAATAGTTACTGTGAATTTTGCATTTTGATATTTATTATAAGCCTAACTAAAAAGTAAACATCCATACAACCAACATATGACATTCTAATACAGAAGTCATGATAAATTATCTGAATAAAGAATAAGAATTACTTATTTCATGCATGTCCAGTTGAAGTTATGACTCTCCTAGGAAATATTTTACAGAATGAATTTTATATCAAGAAAATGAACATAATGTTCAATCAAATTTTCAACTTCCTAGTTTTAATTGAGAAAAAAGTTACAATACTAAAGAATGGTCTCCCTCTGAGTCCGATGTTTACTGTGCATTGCAGACATTCATCTGTCAATTTTCTTCACACAAATAATTTTCATTACTTTTCAATATAACTCTTCACTTGTTCCCAAGTTTATGTATTTTATTATACAAGTTACTACCAATCAAACTATTCTAATAAACCTCTCAGTAATTTATCCCCCGTCTCAAACCCACTCCAAACTTGATCCATCCAGAAAGTCTTTCCTGTCTCTAAATATCCTAAAAGTTGCAGTTTGGCCCAAGGTCAACCGAAGCTATCTAAGAAAAATCTCCCCTTTGTATTATGTAAGCTATACATATAGATCAATCATAGTGTTTTAATTAAAAGCCAGGACACATGATATGAGCCTAATAAAAAGTATTTTTCAAATTTCACACCTTTTTAAACATTCTATTTTAAAACACAAATAATAACAAATTGTTAAGGTTTAAATATGAAGTGTTCACCAAAGACTCATGTACTGAGATCATTCCTCATGTATGGATCCCTAATGCAGCAAAGTTCAGAGGTGTAGTCTAGAGGTTACTGGACTATGAGGGTGCTAACCCACTGATGAATTCATAGCTAACTGACTCTAAGAAGGTAGGCACATTGAGTCACCAGGCTTGTGCCTTTGAAGGGTATATCTTAACCCTGCTCTCTTCTTCTCTGATTCTTTCTTGCTTTCTTTGCCTCCTGTCATGATATGAGCTGCTTTTTACCACCACACATTGCCCACCATGATGTTCTGCCTCATCACAGGTGATGGAGTCAAATGACCATTGATGGAAACCCCCGAAACTGTAAGCCAATGATTTTCTCAGTAATTTTGTCACAGTGATGAAAAGCTACCACATGTTATTATTAAGTAGTTTTACTGATAATCTTAAAATTACAGTTTTCCTAAAAAATTACTACCAATATTCTTTAAAAAATTCCTCAAACTGAGTCTAGAAATCTTAAGGTTACTTACTGGCTATGTTCAGAAAGACAGTATCCTTCTACAGCACTTAAAAGCTTTAAGTATTTTATTGATATTTCTTACTATTTGTCACATACATTTATTTGCTGAGATATGAAGCTATACTCTGTGAGAACAAAAAGTTTGAAAAGTTGGCACATCTTTATCCTCAAGAATCCTAACTGTAAGATGACAAAGCTGCTGCCCACTGCACACCAGGGAATGAATGTTCCTTCCTGTTCCACTCTTGGGTAGTAGACTGACTGTATGATCAGCAAAGGAAAAGAAGCTGAGAATATCTTGACAGACACATTCCTTTGGAGTTTTCCCATCAAATTAAATGAATTAATTGATGACCAAATGATTTGGCTTATTCAGTGGAAAATACAGGACTATTTTAAAAGAAAAATACAGACTATTCTCAGCAGTAAATCCCTAATATAAAGTTATAACCCTAATACACAGTGTGGCCGATAGAAAAAAATAAAAATGACAAAAAGTCTAAAACTGAGAATAAAAGAATTCAAATATTTAAACTTTCTGACATTAAAAGTAACAAATGCAGGTACAGAATGTAAGATTAAAAGTGCTGAATACTTTTACATAAATTACTATAAACTTATTTCAAAATAATTATTACAAGTTATCACAAATTTTATATAAGGGTTAATAATACTCAGAATTTTAAATTAGAATATAAACTATTTGTTGCTAAATACAGGAGTTGTAAAATTTAGACCTTTGCTTTCCTGAAAAGAAACAAAAGTAAAATACAGTACTCCAAAGAAATGCAGCTCTTTGCTATACCCTAGAAAACATTGTTTTTCTTTTTTATTGTATAAAAATCATATTTTACAATGAATCTGTATATCAATAAAGCTGTATTAACAAAAAGTCTTCAACTATAGACTTTTATTAAAAGGCCTAACATACTGTTGAACTCTCTTAGTTATATAGGCTATAACTTTTCTTACTAATTTGTAGACAAAATTTTATACCCTAGAGATTTCAGAAAAATATCTGAACATGTTAAATTTTATGTACTATTATGTAATATTTAATGTATAAATGCCTAGCTAACACTTTGAAAAGATTATAGAAATTATATTTTATTTTATTATAATTTCTTACTAGAAGAATTTTTTGTTTTATATTTTAGGTTATTTTAATTGTATAAATCAACACCTACCTGATAAAGGAGGTCTTTTGGGGGCAAAGGTGGGGAATGTTCTTCATATACAGGAGGTGGTTTATGTGTGGGAGGAAGGTCGATCCTGTGGTAAAAAGACTATTTAGTCATATTTAGCAAAAAAAAAAAAAAAGGCAAAACAGTCAAGGTTCAAGTTCTGGTGGTTTTTTTCATACTATAAAAAATAATTACCACTATCTCAATACTGAATAGCTTCTCTGGTATGAGAAACTGAAAGTGTAAATAAGGATCAAAATGTATAACAGATGATGTGAAATAGGCAGAAAAGGTCTAAAGGGGAAGGGGAACTGGGAGGGGTAGGAGAGTGGAAAGAAGGGAAAGAATAAATATGAGAAAAGAAAAAAATGGTAACAAAGTCTTTGTAGATAGGGAGGGGTGGAGGGGTTGAAGGGAGGCCCGGGGAAGAGGGGAAAAAAAAACCAAACCAAGATATATCATGTAAAGGTACAAATTCCAAATGATGAATGTCATCATACTGTACACCTAAAATGTACCAATGAACTTAATGAATAAAAAAAATTACCACTGTACCTACATGTATTTTGCTTATTTTCCTTTCATCTACCAAACACAGAAAATAACAGTTAAGTATTAGTTCCAATGTTTAAGACAAATCTAATTGATTCAAATTTAGTTCAAGCACCAACTTAAATAGAAGTATTTGAAAATCTTAAACTGGATTCATTTTCCTTAAGATACAGACTCTAAAATCACTTTTTTGACACTCTGGAAGAAAGAATAATGACATATACATATGATTATCTTTAAAATGTTTGTAGGCATAGCCAAATGTGAAAATATGTAATATTTAAGTAAACTATATACTACAAATATGCAGTATTCTACATAGTTTTTTGGAAATACGTTTAAGATCAATTTTCAAAAGCCTCCTCACTCTTATGAGTCACACAAAGTATGACTTTCTCAATCTATAGGCTATTATAAATCTTGCCACCTGAAATAGAGAGCATTATATATCCTAAGAGAATGCATTTATTTTTGCCAAAATGACATGACACATAAAAAGCGCCAATATTTAAATACATTTTTAAATATTGTTTAGTTACAACAAAAATAGATTTCATTATATGGGTCAATTGAGTTTTAGAAAATAATTTTTTTGTACAGTCTCATACTTTTGAAGATCACAGATATTTTCATTCCATGGGATTAGTAAATAAAAGTTTCTCTATATTAAAGAATAAAGGAAATAAAAGCTATAGACACTGAAGTAATAAATTTACTATAGTCTAATACTTTTTCATATGGTATTAATATCTTAAATGAACAAAATTCAAAAGAAATATAATACTTACATGACTTATTAGTCTATTTATTAGTCTACTAATAAATCATGTTTTTGAAGTTATAGAGAAACATAAGATAACCTGGGAACAAGATTAATTCTCAAAGAAATTAACCCATACCAATCACTCTCAAAATATTCAAGAACACCAGTTTTACAGGTATCACACTGAATGAACATCTTAGTATACTTTATATAACGTATTTTTTTAATCTAATGAAAATCACAGCAAAGGTGTCAATGGTCATTTAGGTGAGAAATCTGAGGCTCATAGAAGCAACATAACTTGCTCCTAGTCACACCACTAATTTGATCTTGACATAAGTTAAACTTGCTGTGTCTCCAAAAAGACCAGTCCCAAGAACAGTTGGATTAGAGAACCAGACACATACAAAGCATTTAAAAAACGAATATATGCTTTGAATGGTAGACTTTTAATCTTTCTAAATGTTTTTTCTACTTTTTCTTTTTCATTGGTATATATCTGTAAAACATAATAATTACATTCCTTTTGGGAAACTGATTGAATATTTATTCAAGTATGCATATATCTATATCTGTACATCTTGATCATTTTTATCACTTTCCCTTTTTCCCCAGACTCCCTTCTCAATGCCCTCAATGCCCAATGTCTAAATTGTCTACTTCCTGTTTTCTATCATCTCTTCTTTATTTATATCTTGAATTTTCCATATAAGAGAAACTACGAAATATTTAACCTTCTGTGTCTGACTTATTTCACTTAACAATATGGTCTCAATATCCATCTGCTTTCCTACAAATGACTCAAATTTATCCTTCTTTATGGCTAAGTAACACTCCATTGTGTTTATATACCACATTTTGTTTATCCATTCATCTGCTGATGAGCATCCATAGGGTTTTCATAAACTATTGTAAACTGTGGTACTATAAACATGAGTATGTATCACTGTAATATGATGTCTTTATTCTTTTTGGGAAGATACCTGGGAAGGATATAGCTAGTCAAATGGAATTCTTATTTTTAGTTTTTTGAGAAATCTCTACACTGATTTCCACAGTGGTTGATGTAAAGGAAAACAGTAATAAAAACTATTGCACAATAACGCTATTTGTACAGAATTTCACTTTATAAGACCACACCAAGTTATCCTATTCTCATCAAAACCACATGAAGTAAATAAGGAAAGTATTGTTAATTTCACATACAGGCAACAAAGCTGTTGATGGAATTAGAGAACTGAGTGTAATTTATATCTTATAAATCTATCTCAATGATTAGTCCAAAACATTGACTTACTTTTCAATAAGATATTCATTTTATAATGTTCTAAAACCAAAACCAAGCATTCTCCTCAAGAAGCTTCAGAAGTTGACATATTTAATAACTCTTGATGGGCAAATGCTCTATATATGAAAGATAGACATATACAATCTGAAAATGCAATTTAAAGTGCTAAGATATTTTTATTTCTTGCACATAGTTTTTCAGCAAAGGCCTGCATTTCTATTCAGAGGGCAGGGCAATATATATGTCATTATGGTGGCTTTTGGGAAGATATTCTACTCTGGGTAGTAAAGTTGTCTATTTCCAGCAGCTCCTTGATGTTGTTCATTTATTAAGGTGTAGTTTAAGATGTTCTAATGAAATAATGGTCATCTAACAAAAATCTAATATTAACCTTACTTCTATCCCTTGGACACTTTAAAGAGAAAAGTTGTAAAAGTTGATATAAAGATGGATCACAATGCTTATTGACAAGACACAAGCAAAAAAGTTACCTACACTTTGTCCAGGTAGGATGGCCTCTTTTTACGAGGCATCAGCAGGGCAATCACAAAGACAGCAATGATGAAAAGGGCAAGGACAGCTCCAATTACAGCTCCAGCTACAGCTATGGAAGATGTCTGTTTAAGCGGAGCATCTGTAACAAAACATAGCGCATTCAAACAATGTTAAACAGTTCTTGAAATTGCATACTTTAATTTCTGCAGTGTGTAAGAACTATTTGAAGTATGCTATCCAACAGACAGGTTAGAGGACTCAAAGTCTGATTCATTAGTTTCAGTACAATTATGCTAATACCCTTCCTTATTCCTTGTTAAACACCTCAGCTTCCCTTTTGTCAAATTATGAAAAGAATATCGCCAATCAGACATCAACAAGTTAATCTACTCTCTACGGTCAAGGAATGTCTGGAGGAGAAGATAGATTAAAAAGATGAAAATAATTTTAAGTTCTTACACTAAAAGGTGATTTAAAAAGTCAGTATTCTTTAAGAGTTGACCAACAATATTTATCATTTTTATTCTACTAAAATGAAAAAGCAACTCTATTAAAGAAACCAAAAACCTTCAGGGGCAAAGCTCTCTCCCCCTCCCCCCCAAAAGACCCCCAGAAAACACATATCAAGTAAATATAGTGTAAAAGAGACATTGAATGCTGTAAGAATTAAGAAATGTTTCAAAACCATTTTAAAACAGGACTAAAGATAGTAATATAGTAAATTCTTTCCTATTTGGCTATAGACATACTATATCACCTCTAAATATAAATTTCTCTTTCCTAGACTACATCACAAATTCTATAATTAATGATTTAGCAATTAGAATTTCACACAACTTTAAAAACTTGTCACTCTATTTCATGAATTCTCAAATAAGCAAATCTATTAAAATTACAATGAACTATTTTCAGAAAAGTATCAAGGGATATTATAAAACCATCAATCCTTATGTAATTATTTTAATAATTTCAGCCATATTAAATTATTAAATTTTATGAGATGATTCCTAAGTTACAAATGACCTTGTTTTATTATTCTCTTTATTTTTTAATTGAATGCTAAAGATAATACTCTATAAATGAAGACACTGTGGTCTTGAAGTTATATGATCTGCCCAAGATCATTCAACCAACAAGCAGTGGAGAACAAAAAGTAAGGCTGTGATAGAGAAGTTTTGCCCTTATGCCTTTGTTGCAAGAATGCTTTTGGCAGTATCTAAATTATGCTTATATTTTGGGTCCGCTATTTGGTAATAAAGATCTTAGTTTTCACTTAATATGATTTTCTTCACATAATGTTAAATAATTGCAGTTATGGTTAGGACCTAAGCATGACAAACTTAAATGGAACTGAAGAACTATCAAGGTTGAAATGTTTTCTCTACTTACCAGTTATATTACATCCATATAAACATGTTTAGAAGCACTTGATATTTTTATTAAAATGTTGGTCACATGGGATTTTTAGTGGCTTAAAAGAATTTTATTTTTTTCCAATTATAAGCATTTCTTTGGCAAATAAACAATGTGTTAATTTTAATTTTAAAAACCTCTAACAATCCTGTCATTTTGTTAGCCCCATTCTAGACTGAAAATCTTACACCAATGAGTGCAAGTCATCTATTTCAACAATGAACACAATCTAAATGTTGTGAAAATTACTTGCAATTATCCTGAAACATTATCTTCACTTGCTGATATAGTTCAGGTTATCTACATCTGCTCATTAATACTGCTCTAGTATTTCAATTTAAATATGTACTAGATGAGAAAAAGATTTGAAACCCAGTGCAGTCAAACTTATACAGCATTCACAAATGTGAAAAAATATATTTGGGATGATTTATGGATAACATATTTTACATTATCATTTTCTCCACAATGTAAGTTATAGCTTTGACCAACAGACATATAAATAGATTGTTCAGTCGGGCATGGTGGTACATGCTTATAATCTTAGCACTTGGGAGGCTGAGGCAGGAGGATTGCCACAAGTTCAAAGCCAGCCTGGGCTACACAGTGAGCTCAAGGCCTGCCTGAACTACACAGGGAGAAGCCATTTCAAACAAACTAACAAAAATAAATAAATAGATCAGTTTTTAATACAGGCCAGGGGCACATACAAAAATACCAATTGTCAAATTTGCTACTTATTTCACAGTTGTTACTCTATTCTCCCTTTAATGAAATTTTCTTTTGGTATAGCATAAAGCAACCCTATCATTTTGTCCAAACATGTAGAATTTTGACTATGACAATGACAAAGTTAATGCTATATTTATAGTAACACTTGGAAAACGAGCTTTAAAAATCTGATTACCTTTTGAATATAGTTCTCCCAAATTAAGGGTCTTAATCTATCAATCATTATAAATTCTTTAATAAACTTCACTTCTCTTCCAAGAAAGCCTTAGCAATAATAATAATATGAAATTTGATAGTTCTAATAAAACATACTCACATAGATTCTTAATGTCTTAATTTCTAACTCTAAATGGATTTTATTTTGATATCCTAAAGATAGTCTCAAGTGTAAATATATACAATTTTAATTATAATCTGTCCAATTTTGTATCATTAGTTCTATGATGTTTAGTGCTAGGATTTGACTTTCCAGCCCTAGGTTACAAAGTTGACTGTGATCCTACTATTTTAATTTGGACGTCTATTTCAGCTAGTTCCATTAACTTTTTTTTTTGTTGTTTTGAGACAGGGCTTTACTATGTAGTTCAGGCTGGCTTTGAACTATGTAGCCCAAGCTGGCCTTGAACTTGCAGAGACCCTCCGGCCTCAGCCTCCCAAGTGCTGGGATTACAGGCATGGGCCATCCTGCTTCACCTCCATTACATACCTTTTCTTAGTATCAGAAGTCTGTTAAGTGCTGAAGTGAGCACCTGGGGAGGGGGGGTGAAGTTTGACTCTATTTTACCAATTGAATAATTTACTCCATACATGTAAAGTGATGTTAAATACACATATGGGATACATTTCATATTTCTTTTCCTGATTCTTTTAGTGACTGAGAAAAGAGAAAGATGTAATTTATTTAAGGATATACATTTTTAAAAGATATTAATAGTTAATGAATACCAGTATGAAAGGGATTAAATCTTTTGCATTCAAGCCAAAGTAATGTATTTTCATCAATGTATTTTGATGAAAATTGAGAATTTAGTCCCAATATTTCTTTTCCCACATAAGCCCAAACTACATAATTTCACAGTTTAAATAACAAGAATTAAGTGTGCAAATGTATAAAAACATTTTAAAATGCTAATTTAGTAAATGACTGATATGAAGCAACATTATCATCACCTTACTTTTCTACAAAATCTAGTATTTGTAAGTTGCAGAAAACAAAGACGTATTACAATATTTTCCATGAAAAGATAGGCATATGGATCTCCAAGAACAGCTTCCTGTTATAGCATCTACAATAGCCAGTTCATTGGATACTCACCTTCAAAAACATCAAAGTACACTCTCCAATACAACAAAAGTATACAGCCTTTAATGAAAGATACCATGCATATATCTTCTAAGAAAAGTGCTTAAAAGCCAGTTGCAAACTACATAAAAATTTGTTAGAAATTTACTTTTGAAGGATAATGTACATATGGTATAAAATGGAATTAAAATTTACCTTTACTATCACTGATACAAATAAAAAATGTAAAAGCCAATCAAACAGTTGTCATCTTACTCCAGAAAAAAAAATCTATCATCAAGAAATCAAACAATAAAAAATGCAAGGCTGCAGGGGCAAAGGAATCCTTGTACATTGTTGGTGGGAATATAAAATAGAATAACTACTATGGAAATCAGTGTAGTGATTCCTCAAAAAACTAAAAGTGAAAATTGTATTCAATCCAGCTATTCCCCTTCTCACCTCCTAGGTATCTTCCCAAGAGACAAAGACATATTACAGTGATAAATGCATACCTATGTTTATAGCATGACAACTTGTAACAGCTAAATCAACAGATGAAGGTGGTATTTATACATAATAAGGTACTACTCTGCCACACAGGATAAATTTGAGTGATTTGTAGGAAAGTGGGATTTTGAGACCATAATGTTAAATTAAACCAGATACAGAAGATTAAAGATTACATGGTTTCTCTTATATGTTAAACTCAAATTATAAAGTGAAAAATAAAAGATAAAAGGAAACAGGGAGATATGCCTTTTGCAAATGAGAAGGGGATGAAGTTAGGATGTTATGTACATGTACTATCTCCAAAAAATTATATACTGCAAACATGTAATACAAAATTTTAAAAGCGTATATGCACATTCAATCTATCTCTGAAACTGAGACATAGCAATATTTTCTCTTCAGTCCTTTCAAGGCTTCAGGAATGATATTACATGACACAAAGGTTAATGTGATGGCCTAAAACCCTATCTTCTCACACTATGTATCACTCTATTACTTTTTTCGGAGGGTGCAGTGCTGGGGATCCAACCTAGGGTCTCACACATGCTAGGCAAGCACTTCACCACTGATCCAATCTTCAAGCCCCCGACTCTTAATTTTTCAATACCCCCTTTAATTTTTATTAATGACACCTAAACCTTTATATATAGGTAAATGCTTATCTCTCCATAATATTTAATAAAGTGCTCTACTTGGGTCAGCTCAGGAGCCTCGGCCTCTCAGGCAACAAATTATCAAGCATCTGATGTGTCCAGGCATTATGCTAAGTGCTACAAATGCAAGGATGAATCTTATAAAATCCTAATCCTCAGAAGAGTGAAACATCCTCAAAGGGTTGGTTACAGAACTCATGATGTATGATCCAATCAAGTATAGAAATATCAATACTTGTCTAATAAAAGTATTTAATAAAAACAAATGTGTAATAGTATATGATATATAAATTGCACTAATCGCACCACTTGTTGCCTGTTTCAAGTGTTCACTTGCCACATAGAGCATATCCCTTATTGTATGCAGAGAATGGAGTAAGATACTTCCAGAACAAAATCAAGTTACATCTTTACTTGGTAATTCCATGTTAGCAAAATCAACATCTGCTGACACAGCTGAAAACTAGTATCTAAATTTATCCAGCAATCAAAACTGTAAAAGGAATTTCATGTGACAGGTGAACACCTGACCTGTGGAACATGTGG